AGAAAGCACTTTAGCTCACGCTAAATTTGGCAAACATGTTGACTACAATGCGTTAGCTGGTTGACTGCAGTGCATTAGCTGAAAATAAGTGTGTGCTTGAAGCTCTCCCAACTAAGATACTGGAAAGCCGTTTCTTCAAGATTCAAACCATCAGCAAAGAGGGAGGAGAGGCAAGGATTCTGTTCACTGGTTCTCAAATTTAAACCTATTTGCTGCTACTGTAATTAAAGAAAAATGCAACAAATCTTGGCAGTCTAACCTGAGCTTGTTGTGCTGGCTGGAAATGCACTTTCATCCTGAAAAGAAATATTCTGAATGCATGAAGGCTTTTGTGTCGTCCTGCTTGAGTGATGTGAAATGGAGAGTGTGCGCAGAGTAGGGTCTGGCAGCAGGCAGCTTGGTTTAAAATCTCGTGCTGTTACCCTGCCATTTTCTCCATCATCTGCTTTTTGGCACAATCTGGTACATTCCAAAATCAGATTGATGTTGAGCCCTGAAGGCAAATCATCTCAGGTAGGAATGAGTTCATAGAAGTGAATTTTAGCAGCCCCATTATCCTCCACATTTTTGCATACGTTTCAAACAGGAACAGTCAGGTCTCCTGAAGGAATGTTATTATCCTACCATAAGAGAGAACCTGTCAGCAAGGTGACAGGCTCCTTGGGACAGGGTGCTGCCTTGTCCTCATAGCAGGACATAGCAGGAGTGCCTCTGCTCAGTGAAAATAGAGCCTAATTTACCATAGATGTGGTGACGTCCTCTTAGCCTTTGTCTGTACCCCATTCCTACTGTATGATCGCATCTCCTGCAGTCACACAGGAGGCATTTGAGGTGGTTAAGACAGTAGGAATGGTGAAAGGGTGGTGGTGAAGGCACTTGCCCTCTCCCACTGAGGAGCAAACACAACTAGCACAGGCACACAGCATCACAGGTCGTGAAGGTCTGTGTTGGGTGGTGGAGTCACTGAGAAGGTGCCAAGAAATTGAATTTAGTGCCTGTTCATTTGAGCAGTTACGTGTTTGCTCGCTTCTCATAAACAGGAACCAGAAGATTTCATTCCCATTTTTGAAGGAAAAAACAGCCCTCAGATCTTTCCACCACTGGGAGCAAGGAATATGCCATTGAACAGAGACTGAAAGAAGTTGTCAGTAAGCAGTATGCAATCCCAGCCTGGGGCTTGGCTGGAACCTCAGCCTGATGCCTCCACTCCCACCAGAGCTGTTGTGATCCTGGAGGAGCACCTCCTTGGCAAGGTGCTCACACTGGGTGACACCCATCGTGCTCTGGAAGGCCGACTCAGCCAACTTAGCACAGCTACTTTTAATGAGACATTCCCTTCTTCGTAGTGTCCTGCTTGTGCAGTCCCACATGAAACCTAGCATGTGGCCAGCCTTCTAGTCTTTATGTATGCCTCTCTTGAATAAAAGTTTGGCCCTGTTGTTTAACATTTCTGAGCACAGGAATGGATGTAATTTCACAGCTGCACATTTTTCCTAAGTTTGCAGCTACAGCAAGTAGTTTTATTTGGACAGAAATACAAAGGTAATTGGAGTTTGGCTGAGGACAGACACAGTCTAAAGGGACTTGGATTTTCTTATAGCACAAAGCTACCCAACATAAACAGATCTAAAAAAAGCCCATAAGAAACACAGATATTTTCTCTCTCAAGGCTTCTTCAACACCAAACTTCTAATTAAACAACAAAGGTGCACTGATCAGCTTGTGTCACCCACTAGACGCACGCCAATAATTCAGATGCACCCAAACACTAATACACACAGATGTAGGAGGCTAAATTTGGAATGGCCTGAGTACAGTTTTTTAGAGTTCTTCACCAGCACACGTCAAATAAACACTGTTGCCAGGATATGAGTCAAGCATCATTTTTAGCAGGCAAACTGGACTGATCAAATGTCTGAAAAAATCAAACTTGCATAGGATTATTTTATGAAACCATATAGGATTAAAACATTAAAGCAAATAATTGGCAAACAGTTAAATCATAAACAGCATTTCCAACAAAAGTGGAACTTTTGTGGCAAAACACATGGTGATATTGAAGGCATTGGTTTTACAGAACTGTTTATAGAAAAATAAAAATGGAGAGGAAAATGAAAAAAATAATCGCAGAGCCTGCACATGAAGCCAGAACATAATGTACTATTTTTCACACACATGTGTGAAGCGTTAAATGATGTGTGAGAGCCCCTTAGGCCTTGTTCATGATAGGCAAGCAGTCTCAGAAGCATGAGGCATCCAAATGCCATTAAGAAGTGGAGCTTGTGGCAGGACTGGATGTGCTCCACCTAGCAGCTATCATGGCCAAGGGGGATGGACATGTGCCTTTACACTGGGATCTGACCTTTTTGGGTAAGGGCTGCTTTGTGTTTTTCAGAAAAAAGAAATGGGGTAAAATGAGTCCAAAAAGCTGTGACACTCACTAAAGATGTCTAACATTAACCCTCGCATGCCAATAAATGTACATACAGAAGTACTCACAGTAGTCTGGGACCCGAGCTTTGCAGGCATCATCTGTGCCATCATCAGGCAATAGAAAAGCTAACCCTGAAGTTACTGACCAACCATGAAAGCGCATGTGTAAAAATGTATATATGCTGAAATGTACACTGATTGGTTATAGACAACAGGTTAGCAAAGGCAAATAGTGCTTTCGGAAAACTCCATAAAAGAGTATGGCGTAATAAACACTTGAAGAAAAGTACAAGATCAGTGTTTACAGAGCCATAGTGCTGTCCACTCTTTTATATGGTTCCGAATCATAGGTCATCTACCGCCACCACCTGGGTCTCTTAGAACGCTTCCATCAACGCTGCCTCCGTACAATCCTGAACATCCACTGGTCAGATTATGTGACTAATACATCTGTTCTAGAACAAGCAGCAGTCACAAGTATTGAGGCCATGTTGCTGAGAACACAGCTGCGTTGGGCAGGGCACGTCTCAAGGATGAAAGATCACCACCTCCCTAAGATCTTGCTTTATGGTGAACTTGCCACCGGCTGCAGCAAGAGAGAAGCCCCGAAGAAAGATACAAGGAGTCCCTGAAACAACATCTCAGCCTCGGCCATATTGATCATCATAACTGGTCTACTCTGGCCCCCAATCGGGAGGCCTGGAGACACACCATCTATAACGCTGCTGCTTCCTTTGAGAAAGCACGCAGGATCACTCTCAAGGAGAAAAGACAGCACAGAACGAACCGTGTCTTGCAGAATATACCACCTAAGGAGTCCTTCTGCTGTCCCTTTTGCAATCGGACATGTCTATCTTGTATTGGCCTTTTTAGCCACCAGCGTGCTTGTAACAAATGTGGATAGAGCCTTTCCCAAATCTTCTTTCGTGAAGCCTAGCCATGATGACACTGATTGGTTACAGAACTACTACTGAATTTGATTTAGTATCAATTTAAATCTAACTAGATGACTTTTAAAAAAAGGAATTAAAAACTTAATGATTAATCTTTTTGGTGAAACCATTTCTTCAGGATACAGTTTAAATTTGTTGTTCTAACTACTTATTATTTCCATTGCTGATCCCAGAAAAAGTCACATTATTAAATTAGTATGTTTTTTATGTTCTGTTCAAAAGAATGAGAACTGTAGAAATTTGGCTTTTCTTGGGGCTGATACCAGCACAAAACTTTTTGACATCATGCTGATTTCATGAGTATTGTTGTATTAAATTATGAGCATCACATCTTCTCAGCCAACAAAATATCCCAAAATATCTGAGAACTTGTTCTGGAGAGAATTCTTCAGAAATTGATGGCTTGTACGGATATTCAAAATCTTTCATTGCTATTTTTCCTCTTCTCTTTCAAAAGCATTCACAGTTCTCTGGAAGAACCATGTAGCAGAGTGGGGGGGAAAAAAGTGAATCCTTCCCATGATGGACTTGAGCCTTATCTTCAGCTCAGGGAATTTTAATCCCACTTGTTATATTATCTACCATTAGATCAACATCTGCAAGTGCCAAAATGGTTCTGGAGAATTAGAGCTACCTGAGAAGTCAGATGAGGCTTCAGTGTCGTGCGCATTGCAAAGGCATGGAGTAACCCTGCCCGTGTAGAAAGTCCTTCCTTGTTTTCTGCACTAAAACCAGCACTTGCTAGGAGGGCTCCAGAGCCTAAAGATTGTTACATGCCTCCTCTAGTATTCCCAGGAGCATGATCTCCTGTTGAACTGTTATGCCACCTGGAGAACTTGCGGTATACATGTGGTATCCCTTCCCTGAGAGTTAGCTTGCTTTGCTCTCAGGATTTGGGAAGATTTCATAATAATTTTGGGGCTTTATATTTAATATTAAACATGGATGGTATCTTTTACATTATTTAAATCTTTCATTTATCACTTTGCAGCATATGCAAAATGTGTTTTCTCTTGAATCCTGCTTTCTGGGGCAATACAGAATATTTCCACAAAAGCTATGCAGCCCTGAGCCACCTGCCAGATTCCCATGTATTATAATATTTTCGGCCAGCTGCTGTGGTAGCTGTTCATGCCAAGGACAAGAATTCCCCTGCCCTAGTTTTAGCTTTCACACAGTCCAGAGCCTGCTTTCAGCCAGTGCTGAACTGTGGGTGTACAGCCTGAAACAGTGAGAGCCAAAATAAAAGGTCAGACTTCACAGAGCCCATAACCAGTTGGTGGAGCCCAGGTATTGTGTCCTGGTCCCAGTGTCAATGCAATGTGTCTGTTTCCTTCTCTCTCTAGTGCTCTATCCCAGTCCTTTACCAGGGGCATTCTAAGCAGAATAGCATATGTATAGGCATAGTGATCCCAGAGGAGATATTTGGCAGCAAATACTGATGTGGCTGATTGCTGGGAGCTGGTGTTGTGCCTCTGGCTGGGCCACTCTTAACCCTGGTTCTGCCAGGGACATGCTCCTGAGCCATGTGAGTTGGAAATTTTTCCTATTTTAAGAGCTAACGATGGCCTTGCCGTGGGTTTTTTTGGTTGTTTTTGTGAGGTTTTTGTTTGTGTGGTTTATTTTTTTTCTTTTTTAATTTACAGTTGGATATCAAATAGGCTTTTTTTAATGTTCTTTTCTGGTGCCTGGCATTTCTGAATAGTTTCCAGTTTTCTGGTGAACACCTCACTTCCTCATCAGAATATTCAGAGTTATTTAGGAGTGTTCAGAAAACAGAAGCCTCCTTCCAAGTGACCGTTTGTTTCGGGTGTCAGTACAAAACATATGCTGGGTATGGGTGTTTGATTCTTTGGAAATTCCTGACATTCTCTTCTGGAAGTCAGATGTCTCAGATGGGACATCCAAGATCATTGGCTGCTTTCCTGAAAAAAAAAAAAAAGTCAGGCCACAGTGTTCCAGGAATATATTTAATCATACTCATGTCTGCAACATAGGAAAAATACCATCACTGTCTAAAGAGCTTGTTTCTGCAGACCGCTGATACAAAGAAAGATCATAATCAGTGACTTTGTAGGCATTGTCAGAAAGCATCATAAGCATGCACACAGAGAAATTTCCTTCTCAAAACTTGTTTGTATCTGAGCAAAGCCAACTTTTGTGCTGAGCTAACACACCTCGGTGATTATTTCCATTTCAGTTGTGATCTCAGAAAAGGTACAACAGTCCAGAAAAAGAAATCCAAGTGGAAGAGGTAGATGAAATACTCTATGGCGGGAAAAAACACTCTGATGAAAATATGCTGTTGCAATTGCTGGAAAGAAACTCTCTGGATTCCTGATCAGGAAGTGAAAAGCCTTATGTTACTGCAGAAGAGCTAGAAAAAAGGTTATGCTCAGCCACAGAAAAGGTACAAGTGGAGAAGAGGACATCTGGGAATAAGCTACTGTGACACGTAGCTGGTAGTTAGAGAGGCTTGGAGTTGTAGAGCTGGACTTCCACCAACACAGCTGGGAGCCGTGAAGAAGAAATGCTAGAACGGTAATGCATTCTGGGAGAGCTTTATGTACAGTTTCGTTAGCATCTCTGAATTTTGCAGGGTGTGGAAGATCTGAATGTGTAGGATTCCTGCACATGAAGTTGTGAAGAAAAATTGGCACACCTTATACTTACTGAAAAAAAGTATTTCTGACTTGAAACAGAGTTAAAAGTGTCATAGTAATAATGCTTCAGTCTTTTACAACATATGTTGTGATATTCATGGCTGGCTCCTGAAAGATTATAAATTTGATAATGAATTATATTCCCTCAGATAGCCTAAAGTCTCTTGCTGTTCTTCAATTGGAGACAGCAGATAGAGAGATATTACCTACCTATCTTCACTTGCTTTCTAGGATCTGGACCACAAGGTCCTGAGTGGTGAATATTCACTGGGGTTGCTCAGCAGCACCTGGCCAGCCTTATCTACCCTGGAGAGACAAGGGGAGTCACAGGACACAGTTCATCCAATAGCAGGTTTGGTTATCTATTGATTTTTTCAAAGCCTGAATGGCCAAGTTTCATGTAACACAGTGCTGCACAACTGCTGCCTGTTGAGGACCTTCTCAGGTAGCACAGGTTGGCCTTCTGGTATAACAGGAAAATATTAAATTCATTTTGACTGTGGTGAGCAATAGATTACAGGAGTGTGGGTAGTCATGGCAAAACTACACAAAAGGGAAGGATGCCTCTGAAGTAAAAGGGTTAACAGCCCATCACTTTTTAAAGTGGTTGCTGAAACCAGCAACTTTTCACTTGTTCTTCTGTATTGTTTTGGTTCTGATTGACACAGAGGCTGACCTGGGTGCTTTGTTGCTGAGGAGAGAAAATTTGGGGCAAGTGGCTGTGAGACCAGCACAGATCATTCTCTCATTTGTGTTTTTCAGACCTTTCCATCTCATGGATCTCCCTCAGCATTCTCCAGATTGAGCTCTTTGCCACTTCTACAGTAGATGTGGAGACATCCTTTCTGTGGAAGTAGTGCAGAGCTAAGGAAGGTTGAGCATTTGGACTGCAAACACAAATGGTGTTTTCTTCTTCCTTGTGGGTATGTTAATCCAAACAACCTATTAAAGAACTGAGCCAGTTCTCACATATTTAATTGTGTGTCTGATTTGGGGTTTGTTTGGGGGTTTTTTGCTCTGCAAGTCTGAACAACTGGTCCTACTCATTCTCACCTATTTCTTGTTCGTGCAGGTCCTGGCTTCTTCCTATGAAGCATGTCTCCCTTGTGAAGTAAGTAGTGTTTTGAAGGGAATTCTTCAGCAGAAGCATAAGGGCAAAAAACTGTATGATCATTTGTCTTCATACGCAAAAAGAAGATCCCATGGCAACTCTGAAGAAATTCTGCATTTTTGACTACTTGTTCTATCTGGTATTTCATTGTGTCCTTCCCTTCATATCTCCCCCAACCCAGGTATGATTTATTAAATGAATTCCAAAGCATTGTAATCTTCATGTACAGCCAAAAAAGAAGTGCATGTCCTAATGACTGTCTGCCTGAAGTGTGAGAATAGAATAGAATAGAATAGAATAGAATAGAATAGAATAGAATAG